TAAGCCGTAATTAATCTCATTATTTTTCAAAACGTGATTTTAATATTTACCACCACTAACCAATACTGCTTTTTTTTTTTTTTTGGGCCAGCCACTAACCAATACTTCTTAACCAACCTTTTTATTCTACTACTAATTAATTAATTAATAAAGACTCATACGCGGTACCTTCGACCTGAACAGAGTTATTTTGTATTATTATCATAGTCCTAATTTGGTTCAACTCGTTTTCCACTTCGCTCCCATTTTGCAGACACGGTATTGACACGTAATTAAAGATGATGACAATAATATGAGACGCGAACGCGTCGTAGATTTTCAAACAACCATATGTTTTTCATTTTCAACCATCCCTTTCTTTTATTTTTATATTTCAAATAATCTAACTTATCTCAACCCAAATTTAATATTAATCAACCTATGCATTGCGTTTTTTCTTACCTATGCTACATATATAGTGCTTCCTTTGTTGGCCAAAAAAAAAAATCATATTTGAATACTTTGGAAGTATCCATGAAGGAACACCTAGTACTTAGGATTTTTTTTTTTTGCTCTTATGTGTCTTGAAAGCTTATTTTTGTAGCAAAGATATCCTGACCATTATCTGTCTTTAAGTTTTACTGTTGTTAAATTATATTGTTTAATCAGTGTTTTTAATGGTCAAACTTAACAATGAATAATAGTTCAGGGTAGAAATGCTCAGGAAAAAAACTTTCAAGACATCCAAGAGCTGCAAACTTTTAGATGTTAAGTGCTTTTTAGTGGATATTTTTGAAATATTTAAGCATTTCATCCAAAAAATATATAGTGCTTCATTTTTTTAATCGGGGACTCCACATAGAAATAAAATGACAACAACAAATATGACTAAACAGTTGTTCTATTTGTGAAGCCATGGCTGACGGATAATCAAGGAACAAAAAACTAAATCAAACACTAAATCATGGTTCAAAGGTCAACGAGTCAAATCGAGATCAACTCGGGATTGAACCAGTCATATTAAAATAACAAAATTTAATTGAAAATAACAAAATATAACAACATTAATAATTAGTAATAACAAAATACAAGGAAAGAATAGTTTGATTATAACAATAACAAAATATAATAATATTGAGAATTTTGATCTTTACGATTTTTAAATAACTAAAATTCATAACCATTGATACAAAAATCATCACTAAAATTCATTCAAATATTTAACTACTAAAATATTTGGATCTGGATGAGCAAAAATAAAATCAATGGCAACATAATTATCCAAACCAGTTCATCATCAAGTTTCATGAGTTCACATTGGTTTGACTGAGTTGATACTAGTAGGACTTCTTACCAGTTTAACACTTAAACTAGATCAGACTATTGGCTTGTTCACTGATTTTCCAGTTGAACTTGTTGATTTGGTTTGGTTTTAGGTACTATGTGGAGAAAATTTCCCTAAATTGATCTAACTCAAATTGTTGGTTCAAGTAAAAATTTAGCTAAATTACATGGCCCACTAGGCCATGGATTTAAAATATTATATTGTTGCCAATATAAGGGCCTTATATATTCATTTATATAAGGCGCTTATAAAATTATAAATCCTAGTTAAGTTGTTTTTCGCAAATTAAGGAATGTTAGTTAAATCATCTAGTGTGTTTTAAATTGATTAAAGTTACCTATTTTATCTTTAATTAAAAAAAAATTCCTTTTTCTTTTTCTCTTGCATTTAAACTCTCTCATTCTTATAACAGGAGGTAAAAGTGAAAAACTATCAATTATTTTATGATCTTATATTTTGGACCAAAAGGGAGTAGCTTCTAAGACCTGATTTTTTTTTTTTTGGTGAAAAAATCGAAATGCCCATGTGGTGCTTGAAGCCATGAGGTGCAAGGTGTTCACTTAGCCAATCATCGATATATAATGTCATATGTATAATACTTAAAATCACAGTTCATAGCAAGCCACAAATAATATGATTTTTAAGGTTGAAAAAAACAAGTAGCATGACTTTTAGCCCTTGGCTCTTGAGATTTACTAATTTAATTTTATTCTTATGCAAACAATGTGTGACCTGCAAGCATGACTATAAAATTTCGGTCAAGAGAAACTCATAAATTTATTAAATATAAATAAAATACTAAATCTATGCCTTGCAAGGACTTTTTTTTTAAAAAAAAAGATAAAGTGCTTAAATAATCAGAAAGTATCTATCAAAGAGCATCTAGCGCTTGAAATTTTTTTTTTAACTCTTTATATGCCCTAGAATTTTTCTCCTAGCATGTCTATTCTGAATTGTTATTTGTGTTAATAACTGTTAAAAAACACCAGTTAAACTACACAATTTAACTGTAAAACTTAATGATAGATAACGACCAAGATATTTTTGTTACGAAAGTAAACTTTTTAGGTGTATACAAGCCAAAAAAACTTTCAGATACTGAGTGTTTCTTCATAGATTTTTCGAAGTAACCAACACTTTACTTTGTTTAAAAAATAAGACTCTATTACTCATCTAATTATTAATAACCTAATTTGTTGGAACACACACATATTCATTGATATCCAAAAATACTGGCCAAGCACGAATACATTGATATTGATATTCAGAAAGCTAAATGTTGTTCCCTTCCCATTTATCAACCAAAGAATTTGTGGAAAGAAATTGGAACAATATTTTGACTACGGAAAAAAGAAGAAGAAGAATAGTCCCAAAAAAAAGAAGAAGGGAAAATTGGGGATAAATCCCCGTAGAAAACTTTACCGGAGAATGGTCCCTACAATTTTGTGAAAGATTGAGGTCCTTCAAGACAAAAAATATGCTCAAGAAATGACCATAATGCCCTTAGCAAAGATAGATTGCACATAAGGAAGCTTAGTCGCACTTAAAGGAAGATTATTTGCACGGGTGGAAGTTTGTTTGCACACAACATATTCTGAATAGAATAAATAAGGAAGTTTAGTTACACTTAAACAAGATGCTTCGCACGTATAGAGATTTAGTTGCACATAATATATTTTGAATAAAATAGGAGATAGATTGCATGGAAAGAAACTCAATTGCATTAAGTGAAAAATGCTTTGCACGTATAAAAATTTAATTACATAAGGAAAGGTACATTGCACAAAAAGAAACTTGGTTGCACTTGATGGAATATGCTTTGCACATATGAGAGTTCAGTTACACAAGATTTGCATGTGTAAAAATTCGGTTGCACAAGAGAAGATACATTGCATATAAATAAAATTAATTGTAGTTGACGGAAGTGCTTTGCACGGATGGAAGTTCAGTTGCACAAGAGAAGTTGTGCAACATAACTTCCATTCTCTCATGCAATTGAACTTCCATATGTGCAAATCATTTTTCCTTTACTGCAATTTAAGTTCCCTTGTGTGCAATATATTTTAACTTCTTTTGTGCAACTAAACTTTTATACATGCAAAATATCTTTCTTTAAGTGCAACTAAATTCTTTTTATGCACTGTATCTCTTATCTTATTCAAAATATGTTAGTGCAACTGAACTTCTATACGTGCAAAGTATCTTCCTTCAAATGCAACTAAAATTTTTGTGTATGCAATCTATCCTCATCAAGGGCATTGTGGACATTTATTCTTCACAAATTTCTAGGGACCATGCCCAAATAAATTTTTCAAATTGGGATCTATACCCACTTTCCCCAAAAAAACCTGTTATAATTTTTCTTTTTTTTGGCTCGCCAATCTGTTATAATTTTCATAACACTTGCTTTTGCCATATTAAAATATTAATATAAAAACTCAAAAGTCAAGTTGATAATTGTGTGAACATGATTGCGGGTCCGTTATGACTTATGTGTGCTGGGAGAGACGATTGACCCAGATTGATCAGTCATCTCACCTACTTGTTCTTCGTCAGCGAAGCCGAGTACAATTCTACTAATTAATTTATTCATTTATTCCCAGCTGCTTTCTTTCAGAGTGTAATATATATGGGGCTCTGTAGAAACCCGATAGTCCGATATGGTTTGGTCTAACCTGAACAAATCCAGTTCAGTCCAATTATAAAAAAATTGGTACGAAACAAGACTAGATAGACTGGACTGGACTAGGGATTGGCCCTTCAGACCATTTAGTCTAGTCCAGTCCAGTCCGGTTTTTTTAATTTTCAATTATTATTTATATAATTTTAATATGATTTAATTTTTTATATTAGTTTTTTATCTATTCAAATAATCAAGATTTATCTATTAACTTCTTGAGCAATAAGCATGTGTATATATTTACTACAATGAGGATTAATAAATAAACATGACATTATTGGAAAATTGAAAGGGAATGATCAAAATTGATAAACTTTGGATTAAAATATATGCAAAATTTTATATGGTAAGTTACAATCTTGCCTCCTATTAAAGAAATTTTTTTTAAAAAAAATTAAATTTAGATCCAGTCCAAGCAGTCTAGAGGACCAAGTCCAGTCCAACCAACCTCAAGTTGGTACTGGATTGGACCAGACCTCGGGCTGTCTTTTTCAGCCTGAGGTCTTTATTGAACCAGACTTCAGGTTGATAACAAACCCGACTTAGTCTAATCCATGCACATCTCTAATGTATACTCCCTCTGCTTCGCAACATGGAAAACTAGTTGGATGGTTGGCCTTTGTTGTGGGAAACTAGCTTCTTTTATTAAATCTAATCTTAGGAGATGTTTGGGTAATCCCATAAGTATTTTTTCGCAAATCGAGATAAACTCTTCCACATATTTACTTCGTATACCGTAAAAGTATTTCTGAAATCATTGTTTTATTCTTACCCAATTACCCTCCTAGTAGTATTTGACAGAGATATTGTCATGTCAACTTTATAATATAAATACGGTCAGGCCGTTATGAAAGAAGGACTTGGGCTGTGATTCCAGATCTTATTGTGGGCCAGGCTGAAGCCCATCATTATGGCCCAGACTTTAGCCCACTATACTATTGCTGGACTGGATTGTCGTCTAACTCTAGGCCTCCAGATTTGAAGTCTTGAACGACTGAGGCTCTTGTTCTTCCCCGCGAGATCCCAACATCGACGACTAACAACTCATCGGCGTTTTTTGTCTCCTCGTTTTTCATACTGTAAGTCTGTCTCCTTCGTTTTTCCGTTTTCCGCCTTTTCTGTTTTCGAAATATACCAGGAAGCGGAAAAATCAGCTCGATCTTTGAATTGTTAATATGAATGTTCGGGAGGGTTGACCTGGACTAATTTATGATCATGAAAGGGCAAAACGGAAACCTTCATTCTTCCATACCAAATACTTAATTGTGTTTATCTTTGCTTTTCCCCCTTTTAATTGCTAATCTCTGCATTTTGTGAACAATCTTATGTATCAACGTAGCCTTCTCAATAGATGACGGGGTATTTTTCTTTTGATGATTGACCGAAACTCTGGAAAAAGTATGTGACGATATGTACGAGGCATTAAGGTTCACTTGTTCTCATCTCAATATACATAATGTTCTGCAGGTTATAATTATTTTAGAGGAGGACATGTGCCGTCAAAATTCTCCTGTACACCATTCTACTGAGGAAGACACCGCAGCTGATGAGAGCCTTCTAATTTATTGCAAGCCTGTTGAACTGTACAATATTCTCTCCCGCCGTTCTCTTCATAATGTAATATAATGCGTTCTACTTACTGTTTATAATTTATGCTGGGACAATCGGAATGCTACTTTTAATCGCCATAATTAGAAAGCGTGTCTCACATTGAAGAGCAGAACCCTGTATTTCTTTTCTTGTGTATATTGTCGTTGAATACTTGAATTAGAAATTTGTATTGACATTATTAGCGCACTTTGCATGTTTTTATGTTTGGACCCCGTACGATTTAAACTTGTGAGGGTGGCCCGTATTTCACTTAGGTATATTCTCATGGCACAAACTTTTAGAGCCCAAATTTATCCATTTACTTATTATAGATACCTCTCCTAGGCACCTTGCTCTTCGTACTTACCTAGATGCTGTTGTACATCTTCAAGAATATCCGTGTAATTTTCTTAGAACTTTCAACTTTCTGATTTATGATTAATCTTCTTAGCAGCCTTCATTTCTTAGGAGATGTCTGCGCTACAAATTACGAGGAAGGCATAAAAAGAGGTACCTATTCCTTTTTTCTACTTTAACTCTTAACTATCTTTCTCTATGCTGGTGATGAGTTAATATGAATGACTCTTTAATATATGTATTGTTAATGAAAGAGCACCTGTAAATCAAGCTTTATCTTATACGTTATAAATTTTCTTGTTTCTTTTGCACTGTGTGTAGGTTAAGAGCTGGAATTGTGATATTCAATTATAGGGACTGTTACAACACGATTCGAAAGACTGAAGGTATGGATATTGTTTGTTCTCTTTGGTAAGGTTCAATGTTGCATTGCATCTTATCACTGCCTCCAATAATTATATTTTCTAAAGTGCAATTAAACTATTTGGTCAGCAACTCATCATTTTTGTCTTTGTTACCGTGTACTGATGTTGTGGTTGCATCATGTGGCTGAAAGTGTTGTGGAGAAGAATTGCATTTACTTATTACTTGAAGGGATTAGATCCGGGCAATACTGATTGAATTTTCCCAACTCTTTTTAAGTGCAGTGACTGAGGACTTTTCTTGTCCATTTTGCTTGATGCAATGCGCAAGCTTTAAGGTACATAGGGTATATTGTGAGCTTTATTCCTGTATCACTTGTTCCATTTATAGTTTTGAAGATTAGGAAGGGGGATTTATCACTCTTTGTTTATTCACTTATCCTGGTTTGTAGAATGACGGTGAGAAACTTCCTGGGTGGAAAAAGGCATTTAATTTCAGCATTGGTCTATCATTTGAAGGAGCAAAACTTACTATGGCTTTATTTGGTGCAGGGTTTGCGATTTCATCTTTGTGCATCACATGATCTCTTCAACTTTGAGTTTTGGGTTTGCAACTTTAACTATAATGTCATTGTTTATTTACTAATTTATTGGATATATTTTAAAACTTAGCTATTTGTAGGTGACTGAGGACTATCAAGCGGTCAACGTCTCTGTGAAGATTGATATATTGAGATCAGAGGTCAGGTTCTATTTAGTTTTAAAGAATGGGAAGTGGTTGATTTCCTTAGGGATTAATACACGTATGTAGTGTTAATCACAAGCAACTAGTTGGGATTGAGGCCTGTGATAACTTGGTCATTATCTCAGGTAGAGTTGTAGAGGGTGCATCCTCCTGCTGGATTCATAATATTTATTCCGCTAGAATCTGGTTTCTGCAGTGATAGTCAGGAAGAGTGCTTTTATTTAGCTTAGAGCTTGTCTTGATTGCTTCTACTGGAGTTTCTTGGTTTCTATCTTTTGTATTGATAATGGTTTTTAGCTCTATGAAAAGATTATATATATTATGTGTGTGTGTATATAGATAGATAGAGAGAAGAAGAACACTTAAGGAAGTTATTTAAGAGGATTTGTTGGTGAAGGATATATATGAAGAGTTAGCTTGTGATAGAGTCTAATGGCATTGTGCAATCCTTGCAAGTGACCTTAATTGGTGGGATAAGACTTGTTCATTTTGCATTGATCATGGTTTTGTAATTGTTATTTTTAAGGAATATCTATCCAAATATTTGTTTTCTACAACTAAAGCTTAGTTAATGGCCTTACCTTAAGAAGAGCATCTTGATACCTTGTATACAGATGTATATTATGTTAGTCTCACCTTTGCCTGAAACGATTACTTAATTTTGCTCTTATGGGCAATGGGTAAAAGAATGAACAGTAAATTTAAGTGAGTATATATTTACATGCATAATCTGTTATGCTGTGCAGCTTTTTACTATAAATTTGTCTTAAATTTGTTAGGTATTTACTTTGACTTGAATTCTGTGAATAATTTTGGCTTCACTTTGATATAGTGATGGGAATAACCTTATGTCAGCCTATGTGAAATCTTCATTTTTCATTTGAAAAGAATGTTATGTGCTAATTATCATTTGTATTAACATTTATCTATTTGCACTTTGCAGAATGTCACTGATGGGATAAATCCACAGTCACAAACCTTCTTCTTCTGGTTG